CCCTGTTCCCCTGAGCACTTCCAGGAGTGACTAGAAATAACAGTGACAAGCTGGCAGAGGGTAGATTCAGGCTAGACATCAGGAGGCGCAACTTCACCATCAGGGCGGCTAGGATTTGGAAGCAACTTCCAAGAGAAGTGGTGCTGGCTCCTACCCTGGGGGCCTTTAAGAGGAGTCTAGATGAACACCTTGCTGAGGTTGTTTGACCCTAATACTCTTTCCTGCCCACGGCAGGGGGTTGGACTTGATGATCTGCTCAGGTCCTTTCCAACCCTACTAACTATGAAACTATGAAACTCCAGATGCTCTGCCTTCTACCAAGGGCTCTAAGAGTTCAATCAGACAGCAGCAGGGTAACCGAAGTACATGGTCATAGATACAAGGAGTAGTTGCTTTTCATCCTCAGCTCCCTTAATCTAAGTGACAGCACATATGTCTTGTTAAAAAGAAACACAGAAGGGCTGACTTTTCTCCTTGTGGCCCAATGTCTATCCTAGATACAAGGGGATGGAATAGGAGGGGATGGAAATCCCAGTATACATGGGCACTTTTACACATGCTCGGGGGGGGGGGCAGGGGGAGAAGCACTTTAATTAGAGCCGCTTTAATTAAAGTGCTGTTGCAACGCCTGTATCAGAGTCCCCATGCTAAAAATAGCGGCGGGGCACTGAACCTAAAGCTCGTTCAATGAGCTTTAGATCAAGCACTCCTGCCACCATTTTTAAGTGCAGGGTCACTGATGCACAAGATGCAGCAAGCTGCTGGAATGAGGCAATTGCCATGCTCCAGCAGACTCTATTAATAGAGTCAGCTCCAAACACCTGGAATTCCAGGGCACTGAAACAGCCTCTGAGCTTGTGTATAGGCACCCCAAGAGACAAACAGGGATAAGAGAGAAGAAGATGCAAATGACCAAAGGACTAGGAGGATTAACACTCAAAGACACAAGAAGAGTGGGATATGGTGGTAAAGTAATATTTCAGTCTAACCTGCAAACTCTTAGATCTATTTTGAAGCTACTTTATCGTTCCTATTCTCTATATGCAAACAAAAATTCAGAGTCCAACTGGGAAAAGCTGATTTACAAACCATAATTATTTAGTAGTTTTTGGAATAATCTCATTATTCCATAACAACTTCTTCCCTTCCCTGTCATTTTTAATAGCATCAAAATAATAATTTCTCTATTCTATATTAAATGCAAATGCCATAAGCCCATTAAAGTAAATAAAATGAAATTGTTGTTAAAGAAATAATGATAAGCCATCATGCTCACAAACTTTTATCATGCGCATATACACACACTTTTAGTAATATGGCTACAATACTATTTTATTTATGTGTATATACAAACTTCTGTCTGCTGGTCTTCCAAGAGAAATCAAACAGTTCCTGTGTGAAATACGCACTTTATGGATTTTTTCCTATCTATTTTTCTCAAGAGAGGAACCTACACAGAAATGACTCAACATAACATTGGATAACAAAAGCACATAACTGACGTGTGTTGTTTCAACAAAGCTTTGCATAACCTCTAGAGTCCTCCTTTAACCCAAAACAAAAGAAATATTGCACTTGTTCAATCATCAGTATTTGTAAAGTTCTTACAAACATTGTTATTCAACTGACTTGGGGAAATATTTATGCAAAGTTATACATTTATATCTCAACTCTGCTGAGTTTCCAAGACAGAAATATATAAAAACATACTGGTGGCCTGCAGATCTATGCTGCAATTTTGTATCAAAACAGAGTTTTACTTTGACATCAGCAACTTCCTTTTTTCTGAACAATTCAGACATTTGATTATTTAAAGATAACTGGTGGAACTGATAATGCCATAGTAACTAACTGACCTTAGTAAGCTATACCAAATGAGAAGTACACCATGAGGAAGCCTGAGAAAACAAGACGTCATCATGGCTGTGAATGAAGGACACCAATTATCATGGCAAAAATCTTTTCACTTGAACTGTGACTCCAGATACACCTTGGCCAAGGTTTGGACTTTTAAACTGCAAAGTAAGTTGTGTTGCTTCCTAGATGCAAAGCAACTAAGCCTAACCTCAGATCATGAATGAGTTATTCCTTACCACTGCATGAGGCTAAAAAGGGACGTGCAAAAGAGTAAGGTGGATGGACTAACATGGTTTTTTGAAAAAGGTTTTCATGTGAAACTTTAACAACATATTTTCTTTTGCTTTGTTTCAGACTAAGCCTTCCAGAAAGGGGTACAAACATCTGACATCACGTAATTGGTAAAAATAACCTTTATTCTCTGAAATGCAGATTTTAGCCTTCCAGTTACCACCCCAAACTTGCCTATCAAGAACAAATATAATTCACTAGAGATACAAATATGACCAAATGCTGCATCTAACTACTGAATTAAAGAGACTCCCACTGTTTACAAAGACTGTATAGTTTGTTTTGCTTAAAAAGCATCATTTTAACACACTCAGAGAATAAAGCGTTCAAAGTTACATTACAGGAAAAGGTCAGTGTGGATGGACAGGTGATGCACAGTAATGGACAACAATATAGAAATCCTCTAGGGTGTCGGTCAGTATCTAAGAAATGAAATTAATGACAGATCATTTGCATGTGAAGATTTTATTTTTTTCAACAATTAAATCCAGTCCACACTGAATGGGATTTGTCTTTCTGTCCAATCGATAGAGACAGACAAGGGGGGAATCTAAAGAAAACGCAACTAGTCTGAAATCTCTATACCTTCAGGATGGCTGCAATGGGGGGAGTTAGGGAAGGGAGAAAAAACTGCTCATTTTGTAACATCTGGTAGAAAGTAAGCAATGTGTATTGATAGATATCAGCAGAACCTGAGCTTTTACCAGGAAAGGAGAAGAGCTGTTTAAGACAAAAGAGAATGCTGGCACAAGAACAGAGTTAAACTGGCCATGGATAAATCTAAGCTGGCAATGAGAAGCAAGTTCTTAAATATCAGAGCAGTGAGGTTCTGGAACAGCCTCAAAATCTAACCTTCCTAAAATGGCACTTCATAAGCTTATAACAGATTACAGGATGTAGCTTTTGTAACAGCAAGCAACTGGATTCAGTAACTATTATGCTCTTTCAAATCCTATGTTCTATATGTTCTTCTAGATTAGGAGGCAATTTTTCCTGCGTAGCTACTATTCCACTTACCTGTTACTAGGGTAGCAGGCACATTGTTTAGGTCTACTGCACATATGCTGGGCAAAGTAGGATAGGGGAAAAAGAAAAGAATGGGGAAGGGAGTAACTGGAGAATCCACCTCCAACCAACTGCATGTAGACATACCTAAGAACCTGGTCCATAGCTTGAAAGGCATGTCTATCCTCTGCACCGATTTATAAATCCATGAGTATCAAAACTATTCTTGATTGGCTAACAAGAAAGCCCTCCAATGGCTACAAGAAAGCCATCCAATACCATGTAGGGAAGGGGAGAGGGAGGAGGAGGGGGTTGCACAGGAGAAATGAGATGAATACAGGCAATTCACAACTACATAATGTGAATGCTCTAGTTGTATCTAAACAAGGATACTCCAAAACAACAAAAAAGCCTATCTACAGGAGTAGTAAAGAACAGAAGTCACAGATTTTGTATAGTAAATTAATAATTACAATAGTATTTAAGAGTGCCTGGAAATTTAAGAGCGCTTGAGACAGTAGAAAATTATATTCAGTGCTTATGCTCTGCTCTCTTAACATATTTTAAAGCAGCAGATCAAAGTTAGCAGTTTCTCCCTTATCTAGGGAAGGAATAGCTGACACAATTTTTTCCAACAGGAAAGCCAGGTTAAGATCAAAATGATGAACATAAAAACAATTTACAATAGAGTCCACACAATTTTTTATTTTTTATTTATTAGCTCTGGTGCTGTATAAATGTTGGTAGAATGCCCTGAATCTGTTATTAATAGGGATATATTATTATTAAATCATCTGTTTGGGTGGTAGATTCAGCAGCTTGGGTACTCACAAAAATGCCTTCCACCCAGAAAAGAAGTTGCTCAGTTGCATTCCCTATCAGTACTAAATTTCCAATAATAAAAGTATACCATCTAAGGCAACATTAGTATTTAAGCCTATCTAAATTTGTATGCTTTTACTACTCAAAGATCATAGAGCACACTGGAATTCTCTTCCTTGACAGCCCAATAACAAACACCTACAATGCGTAACTAGATCTTTTTGAGAATTTTCCAACACTTGTTTTTTTAAAATCAGAACAATTATTCACCCAAAGAGAAACCTCATAAGGAAGAATCAGTTCCATGAATATTCTGATTTGGAAAACACTTATAAAATCATCAAAATATTTTGACATTTTGAACAAATAAAAGTTCAATTTGGAGGACCAAAATGACCTTGAAATGTATTTTACAAGAAGTCAGAAATAAATTTAAAAAAATGTAAAAATGAAAAAAGTCATAATGAAACGTTTTAAAATCATCAATACTAAAACAAACACCTCCTCCCCATTTGACCACATTTTTCCTGATTTTTAGTGTGAAAAATGTTTTCACAAATTAAATTAAGAAAAATATTTGAAATCTACAAAAAATTCTCTCAGGACAGGGAAACAGTTTTCTGGCCAGCTTTGCATACAACCCATTCCTCACAACCAAATACATGAGAAATGTACCTAAAACAGTTATAACTTCCACAAGACTAAGACTAGCATCTCATTTCCCCTTCTTTCTAGATTAGAAACTGAAGCTATGGAATAATTTTCTTTGTAGCACCCCGGAGCTAATTCTCTACAAATGACTCCTACTGGACTCAGGACCCCTTTCATTTGTTTGACCTATGCATTTCATGGTCTTTGGTGAAGGAGAGGTACATGTAATAAATGTGCATACACCTATTAATGACCCCTAATGAGACTTCTGGGGAAAAACATGAAAACACCAAACCATCATGGTCACTTCTTGCCAGGTTTTATTTGTTCATCAGATTTGAAAAGCAGACTCCAATTGTATGCTACACGCTTACCTTTTCACTATAAGCTTCAGCATCTTATGTGAACCTTTCACCAGACAAATAGCCTCTTGTCTGAACCCAGAGAGGCCCACATCATTGATGCCAACAATTTCATCTCCAGCCAGTAACTTGTCAACAGCTGCAGCTTTGCTCCCTTCTTCAATCTGAAAAAAGAAAGAAAAAGAAGTCAAAAGTAGAATGACTGAGATCACGTAAGAGCTCGATTTATTCGCAACTTTTATTTATTAGTACTTCATAATATTTGGGTAAGTACTAATACATTGATAAGCAGTTAAAATAGAGTAAAATTGTGCGTTTATACAGTACACAAAAAGTTTCAGAGCTAAAAGTAACAATAGTGAAAAAACTTTATCAGGAGGAGAAAAATGAAGGAAGATCTTCCTGAAGAGAAGACTAGAACTCTACTAACTGAGGAGCGAGTCAAGGGCATTGTAATTCTGATTAACAATCTCAGCTCTACCTTAAGCTTGTCTAACACAGTTAATCAAACATGCACAACAGAGCCCTGCACATTCATTTTAAAATCTGGTAATCTGGATAAACTAGCCAATAACAATTACAATAACTTTACTAGTACATTCACCTCAAAAGATTTCTGACCTGCTATGGTAACCACAGTATTGTAAAACAAGTTGCATCTGGACAGTGATCTAATCTACTCAATCAGGCATGTAACTGAACTAATATCTGGGGATAGTAGCAAGTTTTTTCTTATGGGAAACAACTGAGCGTTTCACAATATCTGACAGCTATCAAACAATTTTGGGTAGCAGAAAGAAGGGAAGTCCAAGAACCAATAACGACTATGTCACATGCCAAGAGTAATGTGGTCATTTAGAAGTCCACCAGTAGAACACCCATATGACTGCAGCTGCTGCCAGCATTTTTCATTGATCACAGAAAACGTAAGATTAACATTTTCTTCAAACTACTCAAATTTTCCTGAAAAAACAGATTACTTTAAAGTAGTCATTTTTGCCAATCCCCCCATATAGGCAAGAGACAGACCTACATTGTTAAATCTCTATTAACAATTTGCAAATATGACTTGCAGAATTACTGAGTACCTGTAGCTTCCATTGACTTCAGCTACATTTGGATGCTGAATTGACTTGGGCATCATTCGGTCATAATGTGATGCCTGAGTGCCCAGGCCAGCGGTGGGAAAATGTTAACTGGCTACAATTCTGGCAGCATGGTAGTGGCCAGGCCAGCATGCAGCTGCTTCTATTTTTTCAGACATACCCGGTTTCTGCATCTGAGGCTAGTACTCCAGTTGCCTCATTTTCATTACACTACTGAGGTTCTTAGTACTTCTGCAAATTATAACTTTGCCTTCTTTAACTTCTGTTCTCTTCTGCTGTAGCCAAACCATCATCCTCCTTGCCGTTACTCAGGCTCACGATCTAGGGCCTATTTTTGACTTCTAGTTCTTATCTTCTGATGCTTCATACTCAAATCCTACCTCTTCTTGTTCCCACAAATCAGCCATTTTCTTTTTATCCTCAGAGCTAAACATTTCATGCATGTCCTCATTGACATCCTACACTGAATACTGCAAAAATGCCGGCCTCCCAAGTTCATACTGTCCCCTTCAGATCCATACAAAATGTAATAATCAGAATAACTTTTCTTGTTTACCAGTTTTTGGCATCCTGCCCCTTTTCTGAAACTCTCCATTGCTTTGCCATCCACTATTGCATCAAAGCTTCATATATATCCTCTCTTCTATCATTCCTCATGAAGCTTTATATCATGCCTTCCTCATCCCAGCAGTCCTCAGAATCATCTGCTGCTTGCACAATCATCCCCATGCCTCTTTTATGCAGCTCTTTATACTTATAATGGCTCCAAATTAGTCACTGGGAACCTTTTTAAGCTGCAGGACAAAATGACCCAGACACAGCTGCCACCACCAGTTTTCCCTGTCCCCCACTGCTTCTATTCAAGGGGACTGCTGCCGAAGTCCCCCCCCACCAAACGTTGCTGTAGCTCCAGGTCCACAAGCTGGAGGTTGCTGACCACTGGGCTAAATTAATCTGGAAGACCACTAACCTTGACATGATCAAGTCCTTCTCAAAATTCATTTTCACCGTATTACCTACAATAAATCTACTTGACCTGTACAGAAATGCCTTACTTCTCATTTCCCTTTCCCTAACTTTGGAGCTTCCCATGAGCTGGATCTTTTTTCTCTTTAAATTGGAGGACAGCACTAGTACAAATAAAGAACTAAAATAAATGTTTACATTTTATTTCATGTAAAATGAATTCAAATAGTTTATAAGATAATTAACTTGACTCTTAAAAGAAAAACAGAAAGATTCACAACTGTGTAGGAAATTTCTCTTCAAACAGCACAATCTGCAATAAGGCATCAGACAGATCTGGTATAACTGAAGACTGCTTCTGAACAGGGCTTTTCTTTTTTTAGACAGATGCTTCAAGAATGCAAGCAGAAATAAAGCAACATAAAGAGAATTATTTCTTGATGAAAACTACATGAAAATGATTTTTTCACCACTCATCTCTCACAAATTAAAGCCCTGTATAAACACTGTTGGAATAGTACTGATCATACGTCCACACCAAAAAATGCACTGAATAGTTGTTGCTATAGACCCTTTTATAGACCTACATATATTTCAACAACTTAGATAATTAAAATCCAACAGTTTCCCCGTTGTGTAGCAACTACCGCACAACCCATGGTCTTCATATCTGACCTGCTGAGGTTTTATCTAAACCTCAAAAGTTTACTTAAAAATTAAAATCCCACTTCAGCTACATGTAGAACTAGAGGGAGCAGAGGTGGAAATCATACTTCTATGCAAGCAAATGGGTTAGGGAGCTAGAGATCAAGGGTAGAAAACTAAATGTCTTGATAGACAGCCAGAGATGGTCTGAAGTCAATCATAGCTAAGAGAGGAAACACAAGCACCTAGGGACACATGAATCTTGACCCTCTGCACAAGTGCTCTTCAGTCCTTCAAGTACTTAGATGCATTTCTGGATTATCTCTAAATAAATTGCATTTTAAGCCTGAAATGAAACCCAGTGGGACAGAAAATATTAATGAAAAGCATTTGCACTAGGCTTGTGAGTTTATACTGGGGGGGGGGCGGGGAATGAAGG